TACAAAGAGCCTGGAAGAATCTGCTGTTGGGATTTGTTACTATGTAAATATGACTGAACTGAATGAAATGCCAGAGGTGTGGACTCGAGTCACATGACTTGGACTCGAGTCAGACTCGAGTCATTAATTTTATGACTTTAGACTTGACTTGAAAAAATGTTCTAAGACTTGTGACTTGACTTGGACTTTTACACCAATGACCTGGACTTGAATTGGACTTGAACCGGTTTACTTGAAAAGACTTGATATTTTACCCCAAATATAAAATTTAACATGCATATTATATAGAGATTGAAAATGTGACGTCATTCACGGGTAGAACCGCAAAGGATTCTGGGAACTCGTGGCAAGAGGTACTAGCGCACGCAGGCTTTCAATTGAAATCAGTTATACAGCGATAAAAAGAAACACAAAAATGTCAAGAAGCTGTTGTATTATTAACTGCAATAGCCGGTCGCATGACAGCCACGGGAAGCCGACGGGTAAAGAGATCGGTTGTTATCGGATTACGTCGTTGAAGAGAAATTGTTCGAGCCATGTTTCCGAAGTAACAAAGAGGCGACTGGATTGCAGCCATTCAAAGACCAAATATAACGTCCCAGAACACTCCAGCTCACAGGTTAGTCTGCTCCAAGCATTTACACGAAGGTCAGTCTGCTGTTGTAGTTAATACGTCATTTTCATAACATAATTGGTGATATAGGTTACAAGCAAGTCTGGCGCTGAACAGAAATTGTCGCGCTATGCTCCTTTATTTATTGTGCATAAATAGTGAATTGTCCTGACACAATATTGCGTTTCGCTTCTGTTATTATGGTACATTGACAAAAACATATACTTTTATTCACAGGATAAAACAGTTGTTTGTATCACTAATTGCCCAGTACGATTACAGCATACAGTATTATTGTCACTGCTACATTTCTGTGATGCTACCAGAAATTATTTCCACTACTAATTAATTACCGTTGAGCTCAAAGGTCCTATTAATAAACGGTTAAGAATGTGTATTTATGACGACGATTTGTGAGACTGGTAAACTTATGATACGTACGATGGTCTTTCGTTCTACACGGTGCATTTCAAGGTCCTGCACCCATCCGTCGGTAAACTGTACCTGGGCTTGTTGCAGTGACCTGAAGTTACTAAACTTCATGAGTGTTGCACTCACTCCAAGAACCGTATAATTATAAATATGCATATAAATATGCTACGATGAGATAGCTGACTTCATCTAACTAGCAAATGTTGTCCAGGCTACGTTGGTGATGCAGTTTTTTTTAATGTGTATGATATTTTTGTCATGCGATTTTAAAGCCGGTCCTACAACCGCATCCAAGAATAACATGCAGCTTATCTCAGAACTGTCGGTGAAAATTATTCTTGGAGCTAGGTTTAATTGAGCTGCATTCTAAAGAGGTGCAATTTCACAATTTGTGTATATTTTCTAAGTTCACTATTTTGTCATGTGTTGAGAAAAACACAGATTTAAAAATTACATGGTCTAATATTTACATTTAGCATAACTGCAACATTCTTTTTTCGTTTTTTTTTAAAGACTCGAAAGGACTTGAAATTCAAAGTTTCAGACTTGTGACTTGACTCGGACTTTTACACCAGTGACTTGAGACTCGACTCTGACTTGCCTGACATTACTTGAGACTTGACTTGAGACTTGAGGATAAAGACTTGAGACTTACTTGAGACTTGCAAAACAATGACTTGGTCCCACCTCTGTGAAATGCTACCTGATGCCCCCGACAGACACATTTTCTACACTTGTGCTACTTGGGTGGCGCTAAATAACTGGATGGAAAATGTGTATGTAGGTCATGTTAACCACAGTGCACACAAAGGTGATCACACCTCTCACCATGAGCCTTACACACTCCAAAGCTTGCTCAAATAAAATGTTACAGTTCTGAGAAGCTAGTGTATACTTTAAAGTTTTTAAATGAAACAACTTACTGAAGAATTTTACTGAGCTTGGTGACCTAAGAGGTGATTGCTTGATGTCTTTGCAGGTCTATTTCCTATTTTCTTTCCAGGCTTGTTTAACATGTAAGTGATTAATAATTTGACCTCATGTTTGTGCAGCTTTGGCTGCATTTTAACTTTTTCTCCTCGGTGCAACGAGGACCAAGATGAGCGCTGTCAGAGCTACAAACCAGGTGAGCTCCAAAGGAAAAGTAATAGTGATCAGCAAACCTGATTGGTCAGGATATATTCAAACTGGAGTGTTTTTTTCTAATGTTTGCTCGACGTTAGTGAGTGAGACTGGGCGGTTGCTGGTAGAGGTGTGAGGTGTGTCTGCATGTTGAGTTTATGGTGTTTCTGATGTCTTTGTGTTGTAATGGTTTCGTTTTTTGTACGTAGTTTTTAGTTTAGTTGTGTTTTTTCCTTCTAAGTTACTCCCAGCCCAGGTTTCCTGTCCTGTGTCGCATCCTTGCGTCTCGTCTCTCTTTCCTGTTTACACTGCCCCTCCTCGTGTATTGTGTTGTCATATATGATCCCTTCCACCCTCCCTATTCACCTTTATGTCCTTATATTGTCTCAGTTTTCCTCTGTCCTTACTCAGGCGTCGTGTTTGTGCTTCCATGTGTTCTGTGTGTTCCTATTATGATGTTTTGTGAAGCTTTTATTGAAAAATGGTTCATTACTCAAAGCTTTCCAACACAGTCCTCTCTGCTGACCTCTGCTGGACAAAAGTATGAAGAGCAGTTTGAATCTACAGCTTATAATGAGCTGCTTTGTCATGATTGGCTGCTCTGCAGAGCTTCTGGCTGATGTGACGCTTTGATCTGTTGTTTTGGGTGAAAGCATGACGTTCTGTCTGTTTTGATATAAATAATCTAGATAAATAATCTAGATCCGTGCAGAAACTTCTGACCACCTCGTTTAAACATGTCCCGTGGTCTGGTCTCCTTTTGTGTGTGACTTCTTGATGTTTTTTATTAATAAAAATAAAAAATCATACTATATATAAATTAGGGGTGCAACGATACTTCGATATTGAACCGTTCGATACAGTGCTTTCGGTTCGGTACGCATATGTATCGAACAATACAAAATTCTTTAATTATTTTATCAACTTTCCTTCTGACGATGCTGTCTGTGTTGAGCGCTCAGTGGATCTGCGCTCGACAGTGCAGCCTAGGCGGAGTAGTCGAACGCAGATTCACTGAGCGCAGGGCAAGCTAGCAGACAGAAGCTAAGCTCTTGCAACATGGCAAATTGAACCTCCCCCACCCTCATTCAGATCTGGCCTTTGGAACTATTTTGGTTTTCATGTGACGTATGACCCTGAAGGTAAGCGCGTCATGGACTAAAGTAAAACAGTATGTTGGATGTGCCACGCAATGCTCAATTACATGGGTGGGAACTAGTGCGTTAGCGCAGTTAGCTCGTTAACGTGTTGGCCGTCCAGCCCCACGCACGGGGCGATCCGCGGTAGCTCGTTAACGGAGATTTGCCGTGTTGTGGCGTTAACGTCATTTCAGATTAACGCTGACAGCACTAGTGGGAACACAACGAATATGACTGCACATTTACGCCGACACATCCTCGTGCAAAGACAAGTGGAAGCAGACAAAAACAACAAGCAGCATGCTACAAACTTTACCCGAGTCATTTAGACAGCCGTTAGCACAGGATTCTCCTTATGGGGACCTGATATGTTTAATATGCTGCTGAGAATATAGCCCAGAAGAAGCGGATAGTATAGCTTTTATTTTGAAAGAGCCATTTCTCTGTAATAAACTCTCTTTTCCAAAGATGAGTGATTCCTCGATCAGATAGATTTATTTTATTACTTTGTTGTTTCAGCAACATTAAATTTAAAAACTGTACTTTTGAGTTAAAATATATATTTATAATTTTAATAAATGACAAATTAAAAAAGCATGAACATTTTTTTGTATCGAAAAAATATCGAACCGTGACACCAAAGTATCGAACCGAACCAAGGATAAAGACTTGAGACTTACTTGAGACTTGCAAAACAATGACTTGGTCCCACCTCTGTGAAATGCTACCTGATGCCCCCGACAGACACATTTTCTACACTTGTGCTACTTGGGTGGCGCTAAATAACTGGATGGAAAATGTGTATGTAGGTCATGTTAACCACAGTGCACACAAAGGTGATCACACCTCTCACCATGAGCCTTACACACTCCAAAGCTTGCTCAAATAAAATGTTACAGTTCTGAGAAGCTAGTGTATACTTTAAAGTTTTTAAATGAAACAACTTACTGAAGAATTTTACTGAGCTTGGTGACCTAAGAGGTGATTGCTTGATGTCTTTGCAGGTCTATTTCCTATTTTCTTTCCAGGCTTGTTTAACATGTAAGTGATTAATAATTTGACCTCATGTTTGTGCAGCTTTGGCTGCATTTTAACTTTTTCTCCTCGGTGCAACGAGGACCAAGATGAGCGCTGTCAGAGCTACAAACCAGGTGAGCTCCAAAGGAAAAGTAATAGTGATCAGCAAACCTGATTGGTCAGGATATATTCAAACTGGAGTGTTTTTTTCTAATGTTTGCTCGACGTTAGTGAGTGAGACTGGGCGGTTGCTGGTAGAGGTGTGAGGTGTGTCTGCATGTTGAGTTTATGGTGTTTCTGATGTCTTTGTGTTGTAATGGTTTCGTTTTTTGTACGTAGTTTTTAGTTTAGTTGTGTTTTTTCCTTCTAAGTTACTCCCAGCCCAGGTTTCCTGTCCTGTGTCGCATCCTTGCGTCTCGTCTCTCTTTCCTGTTTACACTGCCCCTCCTCGTGTATTGTGTTGTCATATATGATCCCTTCCACCCTCCCTATTCACCTTTATGTCCTTATATTGTCTCAGTTTTCCTCTGTCCTTACTCAGGCGTCGTGTTTGTGCTTCCATGTGTTCTGTGTGTTCCTATTATGATGTTTTGTGAAGCTTTTATTGAAAAATGGTTCATTACTCAAAGCTTTCCAACACAGTCCTCTCTGCTGACCTCTGCTGGACAAAAGTATGAAGAGCAGTTTGAATCTACAGCTTATAATGAGCTGCTTTGTCATGATTGGCTGCTCTGCAGAGCTTCTGGCTGATGTGACGCTTTGATCTGTTGTTTTGGGTGAAAGCATGACGTTCTGTCTGTTTTGATATAAATAATCTAGATAAATAATCTAGATCCGTGCAGAAACTTCTGACCACCTCGTTTAAACATGTCCCGTGGTCTGGTCTCCTTTTGTGTGTGACTTCTTGATGTTTTTTATTAATAAAAATAAAAAACATACTATATATAACAATTAGGGGTGCAACGATACCGATATTGAACCGTTCGATACAGTGCTTTCGGTTCGGTACGCATATGTATGGAACAATACAACATCTTTAATCTATTTTATCAACTTTCCTTCTGACGATGCTGTCTGTGTTGAGCGCTCAGTGGATCTGCGCTCGACAGTGCAGCCTAGGCGGAGTAGTCGAACGTCAGATTCACTGAGCGCAGGGCAAGCTAGCAGACAGAAGCTAAGCTCTTGCAACATGGCAAATTGAACCTCCCCCACCCTCATTCAGATCTGGCCTTTGGAACTATTTTGGTTTTCATGTGACGTATGACCCTGAAGGTAAGCGCGTCATGGACTAAAGTAAAACAGTATGTTGGATGTGCCACGCAATGCTCAATTACATGGGTGGGAACTAGTGTCGTTAGCGCAGTTAGCTCGTTAACGTGTTGGCCGTCCAGCCCCACGCACGGGGCGATCCGCGGTAGCTCGTTAACGGAGATTTGCCGTGTTGTGGCGTTAACGTCATTTCAGATTAACGCTGACAGCACTAGTGGGAACACAACGAATATGACTGCACATTTACGCCGACAGCATCCTCGTGCAAAGACAAGTGGAAGCAGACAAAAACAACAAGCAGCATGCTACAAACTTTACCCGAGTCATTTAGACAGCCGTTAGCACAGGATTCTCCTTATGGGGACCTGATATGTTTAATATGCTGCTGAGAATATAGCCCAGAAGAAGCGGATAGTATAGCTTTTATTTTGGAAAGAGCCATTTCTCTGTAATAAACTCTCTTTTCCAAAGATGAGTGATTTCTCGATCAGATAGATTATTTTATTACTTTGTTGTTTCAGCAACATTAAATTTAAAAACTGTACTTTTGAGTTAAAATATATATTTATAATTTTAATAAATGACAAATTAAAAAAGCATGAACATTTTTTTGTATGAAAAAATATCGAACCGTGACACCAAAGTATCGAACCGAACCGTGAATTTTGTGTATCGTTGCAGCCCTAGTAACAATGTACACCACGATCTTACAACAGGCTGTGAGTAATGCTTGTGCTGTGAGGTCCCTGCTTTCATGTGATTATGAAATAAACAGGTATGTTTATATATGCTGTAACTTCTATAACTGTAACTATATGTACTGTGTATTTGTTATGTACATGTTAGAGCTGGGAGCAGAACCAGATGAACTGGTTTTTATTTACACTGGACCTATACGCACATACATACTATATATACATATGGGGATGTGTACTTGTATATACTATATATACACCTGCACTGGAGTGTTTATATAATGGAACCTGCATGCTTGAAATCACAAGACCCAAATATTTAGGTCAAATATGATCCACAGTTATGTTAATGAAGTTTGTGACTGTTAGGTTGAAATTGTTAAATGTTGTCATTGTGTTACTTAAATTTGTAAGTCTTGGTTCAAACTGTATGATCAAAGACACTCCTGTTTCTATTGCCGTCCCCAGCCTGTAGAATGGTGGGGAGGCTGTAGTGTTTTATTACAGGCACAGCTATGTGAGGCTTCTGTTTTCTTGTTTAGTAAACTTCCTGCCTTTATGACCCTTTTGGTGGGAGGTCACACCAAAACACACACACACACACACACACACACACACACACACACACCTACCTAGTGCCTGACACCATAGGGTTTTTTACAATGGGTGTTTGTGTAAACTGTGTGAGGGGAAGCAGATTCTTTGGACTCGTTTGACACCAGGGCAGAGGACTGCTGCCGTCCGGCTCCCTTTGCTATAGCAAGTAAAACCGATCGATTGCTGTTCGTCTTGCTTCGTTAACAGGAAGAAGCTTCTAAACCAGCGAAGCCTGTGGAAGCACAGACCCAACAGTGACACTTGTTGTATGAGCATGTGTGATCAGTACTGTCTGAAATGTAGTGATTAGGATCAATAAGTAATCTTTGTTTGTGTTATGGCCAACAGTGACAAGTCCAAACACGGGGCTAAATAAACTTGGCCCTGCTGAGATGCTCCTGGGAGCCTCTCTGCCCAGAGTTGCGGTAAACTCTTCCTTAACAGATATAGTAGCTCCGCCTGGCAGCAAAGCCAGCAAAGTTGTCAGGAGGATTAATTGTTTGGTTGGTTTGCTGTGCTTGCTTGTGTCTCTCGCTGTATTATACAGTTTTTTCACGTAACGCTGTAACCTGTGTTTAACACGGGCCTGGTGGTCGACACAGGAAGTCATGTTTCCAGAATATTTGTCCCTCATGCTGCACACATTTCATCTGATTTAGGTTAATAATACACACAGGTGTGTGTGTGTGATTATATCAGATTATATTTGAGATGTAAAAAATTTAAAGTTCAAACTGTTTGAAATGAGCTCAGCAGCTGCAGCAGGAATATTTTTTTTAGCATTTTTCAGTAGAACCCGTCTTTACTTTTGTGTTTTATTTAAAAAGACACATTAAGACGAACACTTCACCACAACATGTAGATGTGCCAGATTCACACACACAGCATCATTTTCATCTAAATAACTCTTTGATTTATTTTAAATAACACTTCTAAAGACATAACAGCACGTGGACATAACATTCAGTTAAACAGGCGCCCAGCATGACGTTTGATGGTCCAGTAACTGTTGTGTTTCACACTGTGGTGGGTTTAATGCTCCAGCCTGAGCAGATATAGCTTCAAGTTTTGTTTTAAGCACCAGCTTAGTGCCACCCAGCAGGACCCATGAAACCCAGATTCAGAGTGTGCGCACCGTCAATATCACGCACAGACAAGGTGCAACATACAACACGCTGAAGTGTCTCCATGGCACACAGTTTCACCCCTCCACCACCGAAACGCTGCATCGCTCTACCTCGGGTGGCTGAAACACACAGATGATTGCAGCTGTAAGCACATCAGCTGTTTCCTTCATGTTCATGTTACACATGCATCATGGGAAAACCACACATCTGTGTGCGTGTCTGCGTTTAACATGCTCGACCTCTTTCACATGTTAGATAGTAAAAAGTAAATAGTTCATGCTCACCTTTGCTCACTGCACAGCTGTTAGAAGAACCACAGCAGCTGCTATCAGATATACAGTTAGGGCTGCAGGTGAGCTCCTCGCTGCTGCACCTGCTGAACACCGAGACACCAACAGTCAGCCTCATACCAGAGCATCCTAGGGCAAGTTTCTGAGTTCCCCCGACGATCAGCCAGAGTTACAGGGCTGAGTAAATGTCTCTGAGTCAGAGGGATGCTCAGTGTAAAGTGAACTCTGACTCAGGTTGAACTTTGACTTTGAAACTTCTTCTGCAGAAACATGTTTCATGGTTGTGTTGCCTGCGTCAGTCTGAAATAAGACATGAATGATCGATACAGATACAAAAAGAACATAATCAAATGGCAAAAGCGACACTGGTCCTGCAAAGCTTGACTGACTACTGAGGGACTCGTTTATGGTTCTGTAATTGAAATTTGAGTGTTTTAGCTGTTTTTAGTTCTGTAAGAATGGAACACGGAGCAGGTTATGTAGGGAGGCCTGCAGGGACACAGGACGACCTGCATGCATGATAAACCAGCACAGATGTTTCTCTGCAGACGTCTGAGGATTTATTTTCCTCTCAGCTGAACAGCAGCTCGAGAGCTCTGAACCTTCCACGATTACTCAGCATGTTCAGGTCTGACTGGCTGACGGCTGACAGCTGCACATCGCTGTAGTCTTTGCACCCTGTGATTCTCAGTTTGCTGTGAATGAGCTCCTCATGTCCTGTTTGCACAAACTAAAATAGTGATGGTCTGAGGTTACTCAGCATATTTCCTGTCAGCTCTCATAATTCGTACACTCGTCAGCGCTAGAATAATAATCATAAATTATTATAAATATAAATCAGTAGTAGTAATAACAGTAATAAGATGATGATACGCTCAGAGAAACTTTTTTATCTTCAGGCATTTTTGGTTCCATCACCTGAGATTCACATCTTAAAAATATGTCTCACATATATTTTAAAAACACTTCATTATAAGTGACGTATATTCACTAACCGACTCTTTGACTGTCAGTTGGTGTCACTTTCATCATTATTAGAGCGCTCCCCTTCGCGCTGTTGTAGTTTACCTTCCCTCGGCTGACTGGACGATGTGGAGCGTACCTGTGTTGAAGTAGTGGGTGACCTTGACAGTCCTGTTCAGGGTGGGGTTGTGGCTGAGACAGCTCACGGCCTCGTGACGACCTGCAGGGATGTGCAGGATGCTGCGGGAGCTGTACAGGTGATCGTGGACATTCTGCTTCGTTTCAGTGTTGACGTTCCTGGACTCCACTGCCTGATGGGAGCTGTTATGGAGGAGGACCCACTGTATGTCAGGGGCAGGAAATCCTCCTTGCAGACTGCACACTGCAGACATAGCCTCTGTATTAACGTCCAGCCTGGGCTCCTGGTACGGCACTGAGGAGAGAGGAGAACAAAGGTCACCTTCGCTTTTTTGATTTTTGTAGTGGGCGTTAAACAGGAAAAGGAAAAGCGTTCCAGTATCTGTGCACTAAATATGAAGCTACATCCAGTTAGCATGCATGCTGGAAACAGCTGTCCTGGGTTTGCTAACAACATGAGCGTGCTAGCCATGACAGCATGTTAGCTAAGCTGAGCTAAGCTAATTTGTGTTATTTTTGTTTGTTTTTGTATTTTGCAGTAATTTGTTTGTAATATGTTGGATTACAAAGCAAACAAAAAGGGTTTTTCCTATTTTAAGACATTTTTTTAATCTCATATTGGGAAATGCTTTTGTTATATCAGGTAAAATAATTATTATAATAAAATTTAATGCAAATATGTCAACAACTTTTGATCCTCTGAGAATAGGACAGTGTGCAAATCCAGAATATCAATGATGTGGACTCTCAACACCTCATCAGCCTTTCATGGCTGAGGGGGTATAAACATTAAATAAATCTATTAGTGTTTTTACTGTACTATTGTTGAGTCTTTACCTTACGATATAAAGGCCTTGTTGTTGTGATTTGGTTCTGTATAAATAAAATTAAATTGAATCATTGACAGCAAAACCTCAAAAAGGAAATTCCACATTCAGCATAAATCATAATAACTACAGATTTTCTCTAAATGTAATCTGTGCTGACTGTAGCTGCCTATGTTTGACCTCTGATGATGTCATCTGTTGCTAGGCAGCTCTGTGAATTAAAAGTTATTCAGCATGCTCAGGTCTGCAGTTCGTGCAGCCCAGTGTTTGCTGCAGCATGAGCTCAACATGGCCATCGTTGAAAAGCTAAACTGGTGAAATAGAATCTGTGCTGATGATGTCACGTGTTACTAGCCAGCCCGGTGTGTGCCGGTCTAACTTGCCTTTCCTATTTTTGTGAGGAAAACAGAAACCTTTCTCACCAGCTACATGCAAAGTCATTTCACAGATTTGTGTGTGTTCCAGGTGGTATCGCGTCGTCCCGCTGTCGTCCAGCACTGCTGCAAATGATGAGTACGTTCTTCCATTATCGTCAAGAGTCAGGTTTTTGAGTACGATGGTGATATTCCCTCTGACTATGTCCTGAGGGAAGTCTGTGACTCTGTGTTGATAGAGCTCGTTTACATGCTCCGCCACCTTTCTTCCGTTATTATAGGAGTACAAAACCACATTTCTATCATCTTGCCAATAAAATCGGAGACTCTTCCAGTCCGTGATAGCTCTATCCTGTATGCTACATTCGAGGACTGCCGAGTGAAAGATGGTGGTGTTAACATCACGCACGAGAGTCGCATCGCCCGCTGAGATTAAAAAGAAGACAGAAAACTGTTAAAGATGAATGATTCCTCAAAAGCTGCGACACTCCAACACCAAACACTCACATCTGTAGACTAAGTTTAGCTCCAGATAGGCCAAAAGCTAAAGACGCTAGTTAGCTTTGGTGTATTACCACCAACACACACACACACACACACACACACACACACACACACACACACACACACACACACACATTTAAACTGGAGTAACTTACCAACCACGAAACTGGAAAATAATCCAAATACAGAAATCACTTTGGGGAGCATTTTATCAGAGACCAGCGAGCAAAATGGATGTTAGTGGACACCAACACGACAAACGAGGCTAAACTCATGTGCAGATCAAGAAATACTTTCTGTTCTGACTCCGGTATTTCCCCGTGGCGTCAGCGCTGACTCATCGTTTCAAAATAAATCACAACAAAGCTCTGATGATACACATTTAAAGCCCTACAGACACCAACTAATATCTGCACTATCTGTACCCTGTGACCACGTGCAGCTCATGTGCTTTAGCTGTTTTGCAGAGGAAGTGGGACATGCAAAATAGCTGCTGAATAGGAAATGACGTCTGTTTGGAGGACATGGAGACTGTCTGAGCCCTTCCTACCCATCAAAGGGTCATCGAGTACCAGATTCAGAGAGTACTTTCTGCTCTGCACTTTAAACAGCTTCCGCTCTGCTGAGGACGTTTAGCTGACTTCGTTGATTTTAAAAACCATCTGCTGCTAGTTACAGATGTGAAATCAGTTTGATACAATAGGAAAGCAGGACCATGACTCACAGATGTTTGCAGGTCCAATCAGGATACCTGATTCTGTTCACCTGGACGTAGCGTTTTGGGGGAGAAACGTTTCGTCACTCATCCAGGTGACTTCTTCAGTCTCAGCTGACTGCAGGTTTCCCCAGTCTTATAAACAGTGGATGTTGATCAATGTTCATGAGAATTTGCATAATTAAAATTAAGGAACTGACCTCCCAGCCCATTGTTGCTTCAGTGGGCTGGTTTCAGTCATTATGCAAATGTCCTGTTTATAAGATTGGAAACCTGCAGTCAGCTGAGACTGAAGACGTCACCTGATGATGACGAAACTTTTCTCCCACTGAAAACATCCTGAATTTTGGAGATTTACTTACCTGGATGACTGAGCATGCATCAAGATAAAGAAGGCTCCGTTTGCTGCCCAGCAGTTAAACCCAACTATGGCCAATAGGAGGAGACTCGTTACAGCTTCCTGTTGCTGTGGTTTAATTCTGAAGTGGGTTGTCTCTCTCTTACCTTTGGCTCCTCTGATCAGGCTGGTTGCTCTGTCTTCAGTAGCCTCGCTGGTCCCATACAGACGGTTGGATTTGTACCTTTGGGTTTCATTTTTCTTCATTAGTCTTCAAAGCGATCAAAAGTCCTATGAGTCGTATATGTGCTGTCTTCTATCACTGACTGTACACCTTTTCTTTTTTTTTTTTTTTTTGTGTCCCGTTTGGATCTTTAGCATCAGAATTGTTGTCTT